AAGAGTTACCAAAACAATAAAAACCCTGTTGGCCGTATAGACACTTTAATAGCAGACTTCCCTTAACTCTGCTAGCTAATGGGTTGTAGCAAGTAGAGAGCTTTTTGATTGATCTTCGCGTTATAAAGTGAATCTCAAAAAGGGGAGATGGCTTTTATTTGGAACTTTGGCCATTTTACGGCAAACGGTTAATTTTATTCCGTCACCGTGTTAAAAGAAAATTATTTTCGGTTAATTTTATTTTTTGCGACAAACGCTTAAGATTCGTCAATTTTTACGACTAACGGTTAATCTCATTGAAACCTTCTATTAAGTATTAGTATAATTTCAGAGCTGAGCAAAGAGTTTCCAGCAATCTGATTGGTCGAGCAGTTCCTTATATGACGTTGTATAAACCACTCCACGCGGTTTATATAAAATGTTAAAATAAAATGTTAATAAATGTTACTAAAATGTTATAATTTTAGAAATTTCTCTGTTGTTCAGCTCTGAAATTGTACTAAAACAATTATTCGCCTCAGTCTCGACGAATATTGTCGAATAATCCCCTCGACTTCGTTTCGGGGATTATTCGACGATATTCACATCGCCTTCGGCGAATAATTGTTAAATAACCTTTCTGAGTCATTTTCTGATCGCCAACAGCATTCAGAAGAAACAAGAGATTGAACTGGAAGCATTCAAAGCTAAGTCAAACAGGTTTGTTAGCTCTTGTGACTTGCCTTTACTCGATTTAATATTCATGTTAATACCGAGTGGTTCTAATGGTTAATTGTTGTATTTTATCCAGTGAAAGAAGTAAAACGCAGGAAGTAGAGAAGAAACTGAAAGATGAACTCGAAAGGTGAGAATCTTTAACAAGCGCTACCATTATAGGCAGGAACAAATAAAAAATGCCAGCCCACAGTCAAGGAAAATTTTGGATGACTTGTCCTCTCGTGCAAATAGAAGCAACTGCGAGATGGTCGTGTTTAGAGTTATCGGCGGCGTGCGCCGAGTCTCCTTTTGTGATCACGATTGATTGAAGAATGTATTCTTGTTTTTACTAAAAGCCGAGTTTCGTCCGAAAAAACCACGATGAAGGATAGAGAGATTTAGCACCGCGTTTGCGTGAAACAGCAAACGTCGGCTTGCCCTTTCACGTTCCACGTAAAATAGCGTGAACCTTGCTACTTTAGCTTCGCGTGAGGTCACGTCATGGTGAATGTGAATGCGTCCTTTTATGATTTACAAGGAATAGTTTTGGTTTCCTTTTTTGGCAATTAACTTTTACTCTGTGAGAGAGAAAAAGTGAAGGAAATCTTACCTACACGGCAAACGCGAAACATGTACTTTACGTAAAAACGGCAAAGCGCAATCGGCAAACGTGAAAACATGGCGGGAAAAACGAGGTCACATGGTCAGTCTTGCTCAATCTCTATAATGTAGTGATACCATCAGAGAACGCGTGATACGAAATCGTAGAACGCTCTACCACACTAACATCTTGCGTTAATATCCTATCCACGAGCCAAAAGTCAGAGGAAGGGGCTTTTTTCTCCGCTCAAATGAAATATTTCTTTCGAACATAACACACTTGTTTTTCAGGCTCTTTCAACCAGAACATATTCCATGCACCCGGCGTGGGTATGATACAACTGCAAGATAAACTAATGAATCACCTAGAATTGAATGGCTATTTAATCTTTAGCCTGTGTTGTTTTCTCGTGATTTTAAGGTACCAGTCAATAAACAGGGAATTAGAAGAAAAATCGAAGGAATCCGAAGAGAACTTTGCACGGTGAGACGATTTTAAGCCGTAGTGATTGTTGAATCAACTCGGGCATGTCATGTTCTTTCTCCTTAATTTATAGCGATAGTGGTGGCAAAGAATAAAGTTGCTGACTGAGACGTGCTTATTTGAAATTTGACTTTCTTTTGAGTCTTTTATTCTCATCACGTTCAAGATTTGCTTGCTGAGAGATATTCGTCTTTGCTATTCGCTTCAGGCAAATAAAATCATTTGAAGAGAAAGCTGCTAAATCCAAAGAAGAATTTGGAAGGTGCGTTTGAAAAGATTTCGGTGGAAACATGCCAGTTTGAAATAAGTGTAAATTCCAATTTTCAGGCTAACTGTTTGTTCTTTTTTCTTTGTTGTTTTCTCTTTTGAAGGCGACTTGTGGAGACCCAAAAGAAGTTATCGCAAGCTGAAATAAATTTTGACAAGTAATTAAATGTTCATTACTTTTCGAACGACGATGTTTTTTTTTTGCGTAGGAAGTGCTTGATATTAAGCGAAACGCTGTGACCAGGTACGCACCTACAAACAATGACAACAAAGTTCTCGGTTTTCGGTCCTCGGTCCTCGTTTCCCGTTTTTACTTCAGTTATATTCATCGAAAAATTCATGTTTCGAGTACTTATATGTTTGTTTTTCAAATACAGTTTCAGAAGCGAACAGGAAATGAATTTAAAGGAAATGGAAAGGTATGACATAACCAGACAAAGACTCCGTATGCGTATGCCTTTTTTAAACAAATTTAAACTTTGTTTTTATTTATTTATGTTTTTTATTTTAACGACTTTACCGGGTGTGACTAGACCCGGAAGGATTAGTGCGAACGGAACACAAGGTCCATTCGAGGCACCGCCCCTCTCCCCAATTCACCCTGGATAGACACTGCACAAAGATAGACCACAACACCGGGCACTACGTGCCCTACAGTTTTCAAGGATTGTTTTGTTTTTCTTCTCAAATCACTGCAAACCGGGAAAATTATCTCGCGTTTGAATTCGGCTGGTTTTTCAAAGTTAACTTGGAGGTGTTCAGTTCTGTTGTCGTCGAGCGAATAATCAGGTATTTAGGGTGCGAAGCAATTGTTGCAGCAGCAAACTTTGAAACTCGCGGCCTTCCTTCAGTTCATTATCATAATTGCTTTATTTCTCTTTGATTTGTTCCTCTCCAGGAAACTCTTTTCAGCAGAAGAAGAAGTAAACAGATTGAAATCAGAATTAAGCAGGTGAGATCTACCAACGAACAAACGAACTTCACAATTTTTTTTACAGAAGAGAATCGTGTTTGACGTTTGTAATACAAAATTTTTTGCACCACGCGTATAACAGGCAGAAGTGGACGACACTGACAACTTGTTTGAAACAAAATATTCATTGGCTACGGTTATTGCACTTGTTACAGACACTATTCTTCGTATACAATAGGTAACGTTTTTCGTCACTATATTAAACTCAGTAGTCCCTACATCAGCCCAACAAAGGATGCTTACAGCATAGGCACGACGGGTAAAACTGTCTAACAGTTTAGTGCTCATATCGGTAACCAGTCACGTTCAAGAATTTTGTTACAGTTTTGATTATATCAGTCATTTCAGTTTTATTAACAGATCAACAAATTCCATTCTCTTCTGCAGTAAAACAAGCAACGACGATCAGTTGAATGAGTTAAAAGCCCAAATCGAAGTGTAAGTTCCCTAAAAACAGGCATCATTACACCAGTATTAAAAAACCTGCGGAAATGAAGCTGCAGGTAAAACAGGGAACGTCGCATGTATAGTTCACTCAAAATGTTAAAACTCGTCATTTGATGACTCGCTATCTTACCAACGTAATATTTGAGAGTAACTTTTCATGTCCTTCATGCTCCACGAAAGTTTTGTGACCTCCATGCTGAAATTTAGTAAAATTCCTCAGTGTCACGCAATACTTGCGTGACATCTAACTGAGAAGGCAAAAACTGGAGGCTGAAGTTTCACGAAATAAGCTCTCTTGAAATATGCTCCTTTCTTATACATGACGAAGGAAGCGATAATGAAATAAACCAGTGGGAAACGTAGTAAAGGTTTTTTGTTTTATGTTTTAGATGGCGAACTAAATACGAAGATTTGGTCCAAAAGATTGAGCCCTTCAAGGTCAGTTATATTTTATGCTTTACACCCTTACATCAGTATGCATGTTCTCCATACTGTTCTCTATACATTTCCTGAGGTGCTGACAAGGAGAATTTGTTTAACAATCAAGAGCTTTTTAAGTTAGTGATCATTTCCTTTATTCTTATGACCTTAATGTCTGATTTAGGGGTGATGTTGTAAGGAAAAATTTTATGCTAGGTACTCTTAGGAACAACCGAGCTCCCACGGCAACCGAACTCCCACGGCAACCGAGCTCCCACGGCAATCGAGCTCCCCTTGAAAAATCTAGAAAGCCCGCTGAGGTTAACAGCTCATTAACACATATGACCTTTGCTCAGAAATAGTGCTTTAACGATAGATTCGTGTGAGTAATTTTAGACCAGAAAGCTTAAGTACGGTTGAAGAAAGGTCTTGATTGGCGTTTTTACCTTGGTTTCATTATGTGAACTTTTTGTTATAAAAATGAATCAGCATCACTTACGTTCCTCAAGAGGTGTTATTGACGCGTAGTTTCACTGTCCCAGGATCAACTGGATGAATATGAAGCTGAAAGAAACGCCCTCCTTTGTCAAAACAACCAAGCAAAGGACGAGGTAAAAAAAAAAATTCTAGCTTCGCCAACCTGCGATCAGACGTTCATTTTCACGAGGAGCACCACTGTGTAGTAAGGCGCCTGAATAAAGTGCACGCGATCGCAGGTTATGCCGGGTCTCACTATTGACATATGGACTGACATAGGAGTGAAAGATTTTTAATGTTATTATTTTATCCTATATTTAATACTTATTCATTTACGTATTCATTTATCGAGGGGTGCCGGGTGAGCGGGTGTTTATAGGACTCATAAGGGCTTACTTAGTTTTTTTCCCGTTTTACTTAGTTTTTTCCCTTTTCCTTGCATGCTCTATCTTCCCTTCCTCACCCACCCCACCCATAAAGGTTAAAGATGTGATTGATCATTTTCGGTCCATCCTTACATGTGCTCACCGAAGTAAACAACATGAAGTACTTGATACAAGAGCGGACCAAAGAATTGCAGAAATGATTTCTCAAAGGATTTCTCGCACTCACACAGTTTGTGTTTTCAAGTGCGAACTCAGCGCGGCGAATATTCGGTCGCCATATTGGACGCGTGGAAGATCTAGGACGAGTGACAAAGCGAGGGTGGGGGGAAGGGGAGAAAAAGAAACAGAAAAACCTCCTCTTCCCTTTCCCCCTTCGCTTTGTCACTCGTCCCAAATCTTACACCCGTCCAATATGGCGACCGAATATTCGCCGCTTGAAAACGTAAACTACCGCCTGCAAGCAGGCTACTCACACTGTAACCGAAATAAGCAAGGGCATAGTTCAGGACAATTGAATGAATTTAAAATAGTTTAGATTGAGTAACTCGCGATCCTCTTGTCGCAAGAATTTTGGAGTCAGACAAATGGTAAAGAAAACCACAGGTAGGATTGGGTAAGGGGGTCTGTACCACCCCCTCCCCCTCCCTCCCTAGATCTGCCATCGTGTTCTTCTTCGCATGTTCTGTCCATCATTGTCGTAGGTTGCCAAGCTAGGCCAGCAGTATGCCAAATTACTTGGCCACCAAAACAAGAAACAGAAGATACATCATGTTGTGAAGCTCAAAGAGGAGAATAACAGTCTCAAAGCTGTGAGTACTCAAAAGAAAAAAACACGCAAATAACTATCACTATGATATGCAAGGGGGTTCATCACCGGTTTATGGCTACTTATCAGTTCTTTGTTCGTGTAGCCATCTGTCTTGTATGTGTTTATTTTTACTTCCCAAAGAGAAATTCCCTCCTGGCTTATCGAGTCAATACCCCGACATTACCCAGCATAGTGGGAGTATGATTGATTGATTTGATTACAAAAAAGAAATAGCAGGTTAAAATTAACGAAAATGGTTAAATTGCTGGTGTTCGTAATGCTTGCCTAGTTCTCAGGCGCGGTCATCGGTTTGTTTTGGTCGTGAGGTCCGATCAAAATAAATTGGCCGTGAGGGCCTGGAAGGAAACCCTAAATGATTTTATTTCAAAACAAAATTATAACAGCTACTTAGAGTTGTAGTTTAGTCTGTACACAAATCATGATTGCAACTTTTTATTGATTCGTAGGAAATAACGAAGCTGAGGGAACAAACTGAAAAACAAAAGAGGGCCATGAAAAAACTGGAAGAGAAATTGGACCATGTCAGTGGAAAGAAAAGATTTAATCCTACGGAGGCCTTCTCACACAGCAAAAAAGAGAATATGCCACTATCGGTTCTTTCCAATGGTGAGTTATTTTTTAACTTAATTTATTTCATTTTACGATTGATTGTACCATCACAGTCGATTTCTTAACGGATCTACTGCTAACCAATTAGGTGTCGCGAGTTTTTTTTCACGCGCACGTCTCACGCACAACCTTTGCAAGAAAGACGCGTGATTCATGTAACATGATTCTCTGGGGACCAGATCGATACCTTTGAGTCTAGTATTAACTTGACAGGTATTGCTTGTTTCATGTCCAGCCTAAGTAACGTGTAATTTTTGAGGCCATGATAGAATGTTTCAAACAAAAGTGAGAAAAGGAACCTCCACTCTTTTCACAAAAAGCGCTGAAAGTGTTCCAAATGTACTTCTTAACAGATCTGCCATAAAAAAAAATTGCCTTACCAGGCGATCTGATTTTTTTATCCTTATCCAAAAAGGGGTATTACATCCACTTCAAATATGCCGCGGCCGCCATCTTGAATGTTGCGCAATGCACTCTGGGCTGATGACGTGTGACAGTTGCTCGGTGCACTGGCAGTGAAGTGTTTCACCCTTGCTACTGCTATATTGCTGTCGCCGATACCTTGCTATTTTTTTTTCTTGATAGTTGAAGTTACTTTGTGATCCAAAATCATTTATTGAGAATTCTAACGTTTTTACGTAAACAAACTCTCAATAATAAAACTAGGGGCAGCTGTACTTGGTTTCTTTGTTTTGTTTTGTTGTTGTTGTTGTTTTTTAATCCATTCTTTTCGAGGTGAATGTAATATTGTTGTTTATTCATCGTGTTAATACTTCAGTTCGTTTGTGGTACGACTCTACATAATTCGCCAGAATGATCGTGTTTACATCTTGTTGACCTGAGCATTCCGCTTTAGATTTTTCTTGCATTACTGGGCATGATCATGATATAGATTTTTATCCTCGCACTCTGTAATAATGATAATAATAGAGATTTTCGCATAGCGCTTTATGCAAAGGTTCTAAGGCGCTTCACAATAATAATGTTAAAAATAAAACTTAAAATAACCTAAGATATAAAATATCGACACTATGAATAAATATATCTTATTAGACGTTTTGTTGTGAAGTATCGTTTGAGTATTTTTACGAGTTGTGCCGTATTTTGACGAGCCCGTAGGGCGAGTCAAAATGAAACAACGAGTAAAACTCTCAGCGATACTACACAACAAAACGTTTAATAAGAGATTTATTATCCAACACGCTAAATCAGTGGTGTTTCAGTGCGGGCGAATTTCGCGGATATTTCTGGAGTACAAACATCGCGTGATATTTGTAATAGTCTCGCGCATTACTTGTACTCTACCAAGCACATTTGGATAATAGACAACAACATCAGTTTCACCTCGAAAAGAATCGATTTTAGATAGAACCAAAACAAAGCAATCAAGTGCAGCTGCTCCTATTTTTGTTATTTTAAAAAAATCACTATATGTTGGAGCATAGATTGATGTATTTTGGTGTAGTGTAATCTGATCAGCGCAATTTGGTGTATCTCTAACAATTCTGATTGGCGCATCTTTTTTTGGTGTATCTCAAAGCAATGTGATTGGCGCAATTTTTTGATGTATCAAACCAATCAGATTGTAGTATTTTTCGATGTCGCACCAATCAGAGCGTTCTTGCTAATTTGGGGTTTGACAGGTCTTCAAATTTCAGCGAATCAACGCGTGACTCGGGAGGAGCGGTTCGCGAATTAACGAAACGTATTAGTCGTGTTGGGAGGGCGGCGGAGTTGAGATCAATGTACGACTATGGTTATTCTTCGTTCTAAAGGGAACTGAGTGGAACATGAGAAAAATTTTGAATCAATATTGCTTGAGATGTGGATGGGAGCAACTTCAGGATACCCGGCCGCTATTTAACAATTATTCACCGAAGGCGAGGTAAATAGCGTCGAATAATCCGGGAATAATCTCGGGGAATAATCCCCGAGACGAAGTCGAGGGGATTATTCGACATTATAACCCACCCATTAATTTTGGCACGATTTTATTGGTTATTACGTCACGTGGTGCAAAATCACAGGACAGTTATCACGCAATATCCCCCGTCCGCGTCGATATTTGTCCTCCGATTTTTTCCGTGAAAAAGAAACATAGTCAACACAAAAGTTTCAACTTTTCCGTTCTCCTATTCACATGGAAGGAAACCAAACTCGTTTTTTTTTTTT